TTGGCTCTCCAAAAAATATCAATCGGACTAAAACTAAAGCAGCGTTTTCCTAGCAACGCACATTTTACGCAGCGTAGAACGTAATTCGGTCGGCGTAAAACGCTGAGGACATGTCTAATGAAAATCAAATTGAAGCGTTTTCCTACACTGCGTAAAAACGACTTGCGCTAGCGTAATACGGTCGACGCAACTGAACGACTGCTCGGAGAGCAGTCTATTCAGTTGTACGCTGCGTGTTGGCAAAGAAAATGCTCCTGTTGTATTATATTTATATGCCTCAATGTTAGGCCAAGCTTTCCAGATTGCGAAATGGGATGTCGCACGCGATAACATGATTCTTTACTTGAATCTTTTCTCACAAGATCGAGGAGAAATGAGAATTGCTGCCTTGTAACTGTAAAATATGCTTTTCAAATTTTACTTCGTCCTCGAGCAGATGTTTATGGATAAGTACCTATTCTAAATGCTCCTTCGCTTCTTTTTTTTTGAAATAATTGACTAGCAGAATTTCTATACCTATCATGAATCGTGGCTATTATATCAATCTCTTCTTGAAAATTTTCATCTTGTAATAATAGGGCTGTTTCTGCAGAAATCACAAACCAGTCAGAGTGAATTACATTGGTTGAAACTAGTTTTCTGACTGTTTTCAACCAATGAAATTCGCCCTGACTGGTTTGTGATTTCTGCAGAAGCAGACCTAATAATAAAGCCAAAGCTAATTTCTTTATTGATATACTCATCGCGACGATCGGGACGCAATTGACAATCCTAGGAAAACACTTTTACGCAGCGCATTGGATGTTGCGTTGCGTCGGCCGTATTACGTTCTACGCCGCGTAAAATGTGCGTTGCTAGGAAAACGCTGCTTTAGGGAGATACAGCGTGTTAAATAAAAATTTAGAAAAATCCATAAAATTGGATATTTTTAGGAAAATGCCGGTTTTGACCAGTTCCGCAATTCCAGATCAACTGGCGAACTTCAAAATCGGATCCGCCAGGGCGATTTACATAAGAAAACATTTTTTTTAGGTGGTTGTTCGCGATGTCTTACAGAGGGCGCATCCTAGACGTTGCTCGTTCTCCGACTGGTTCTGAATCAAAAAATTGTCTACAATTACTGGAGACCCATTACTGAATCTTGTAGGCTGATCTACAGTTACATACAATGAGCTAACATGTTGGAAACCGCGTAGTGATTTCATCACAGATAATGACTACGTTTAATTCATGCGTTGTATCCGGATACTTAGTGGATTGGATTAATAATGGGAAATAATAATCCTGAAATAAACACCCAGGATTTGAGAAATAATCAGGATCGGAGTACTTAATCCAATCCTCCAAATTTGTAGGATTGGAATTAAAATGGATTATTTCAAATTTTAAATAAAGACCTATCTCGGGTTTAAGAAGTTTGTTGCTAACTTCAAGAAAAAATCACATTTGTCATTTGTAATTGTTTTGAGGGTTGATGTTGTTTAGTTGTATTTGAATATTTTTTGATGAAAAACCAGTGTGAGATAAGAAAATGTTCACCTTTTAATTGTTTATTGAAACTATTTTTCATCATTGTTGCCTTTTATGAAGTTAGACACAAAGTAATTTGCGCTTTGAACAAGGTTTAAAAAAGGATTAGCACTCATCCTAAATTTAATAGTTGTGAAATAAACGAATATGGATTAATAATCCCTAATCCACTTACTATCCGGACAGAACGCGTGAAATAAACGTAGTCATTGTTAAAATGCTCTAAAAAGTGATCAGCAGATGTGTAACTTCACCAGATTATAATTTTGAGAGACTTATTCAATGCGGCCGCATACTCAAATTGCAGTGCTTACCATACTATGCTAGCTATTCCAAATGTGAATCTAGTCGTGCAAAAATCATTACCCCACCGTGCACATGTTTTTCGCTGCAGAAGGATGAAATTTGCTGAAATCCTGGTAAAATAGCTGTTATCTCCTAGCCTCGTTTGAACCAGTGCTCCGTGATATAAACCATTTGTATTTCTGGATGTTCTTCATCCAACATTACGCTAAGTATATGTAGCCTGATTGTCAGCGATAGCATATTTTGATGTTTAACAGTAATCAGGGTTGACAGCTGGAAATCTGTGGTTGATCTTGATGGAAAATGGCTGGCGAGTAAGTCGATCTTCTGTGCGAATTTTTTTTGATCAATCTGGCCACATAGCATCCGGAGGGCCAGAAATTACCAGAGGGTTAGGTATATATCTTCCAGTTCCTCCGGAACACGGAGTTTGAAAGCAGCGCTTTTAGGTTATTTAAATTTACATCTAAGTTTTTCGCAAGTTCGTGTTCGTTCGAGTGTTGGCCTAAAAGGTTTGTGATGTCTTCTGGCTTGGTGTTTACGTCCAGGTTAGATATGAAGATGCATTTGAGTTTCTTTTGGTTTCCTAAACAGGTCGTTAATTGGATTATGTTTCTTGATTATCTCTGATTTTACGTTTAGTTGCTCGAAGATTTTGTGCTTTCTGCGACCCAATGCTTCACAGTTGGCTATAGGGTGTGTCTGACAGTTTTGTCCAGAAAAGTGCCCAACAGCACCTCCTTGTTTTCCACTATGGTCTCCACTATGGTGACCAGCTGGTGGAGCGCTGTTCCTGTTGACATCCCTGTCAGATATACATGCCGGTCAGGGTGTTATGGTCACCAACACAGCTTCCCCTTATGAATGTCTACAAGTTTCTCCCAATGTTTCAAGCTCAAAAGACGAAAGACTAATAGGTGTTAGGAGAAATGTATTCTGATGACTGAACTTGAGAAGAACTTATCACAGGAGTTCATATTCGAAATAGTTTAATTCTATTGAACATTATTTATTACCAATACCAATACTTTCATTGCTATATGGTGTTTTCCTCACGCTCCTTATGCGCATGTGAAAATCGATGCTTGGCAAAATAGGTAAGTATTAATATGTATGACTCGTTTTTGTATGAAGTGCATACCGTTCCGCTGGCGAATTCAATCAGTTTGAAAACAAAAATCCAGTTTTTCAAGGATATCTTGGCTATCTCAGAAGGAAGAGGCTGGGATTTAAAGCTGGGAATTATCCGAAAAAAGCTCTCAATGTCTCATTCTATAAAAGTAACGTAAAAGTATTCTCATAAAGATATGAAATATCTTGCCTAGCAATCTTCTGTTACATCTTGCAGGTAGTATTGCAGAAGTATAACGGTCTTGAGCTATCTGCTCTAAATTATGCTTCCTGAATGTTGAGGCAATGGAAAAAAAGGATGTGAAAGGAAAAGGAAGTTACACAGAGTAGTTACCTATATTATGGTTAGTCGCGTAATGGCCAATTATCTCAAAAACCTTTGTGGTGGTTCACAAAATCAAAAGCAGTAGGTTTTTCTGATATCAATTATATAGGTAATTTTTAGGGCCAAGTATTTTCAAGACGACTCAACCAAACATAGGCAAACTATATATTTTTGGGATGGGAAATTTATGTTTTTCAAGACTGGAACCAAATATGGGGCATTTAGTTTGAAACGAGTTGAAAGTATAGGTACAACACACACCCAATGCAATTTAGTTGAGCGGCAAAATAATATTCAAAAATAGTTAAAACACAGCATTCCACATAATAGTGAAGTGGGCTGCCAGTGGATCGTATCTTAGAATGGCGATCATCGGTATTTAAAGGAAAACGCCCTCTGGCCGGAGTGCAACTGAATTTTGGTGCAACCAACGGTGCATCTCATCGTATAAATATTAACAGCGTTGGGAGCTTCGGCTAAACACTTGTGTTTTTCCGAAGATTAACTACAACTTCCCCGTTTAAATTCCACACACTGTTAAGAATTTCTTGATTTTGAAAATTTTTTTTTTCATTTTGAAAATTCATTTTTCAAAATTCTAATAGAAATAGTAGTTTAAATGCAACTTCCAAAGTATCTAGTTGTTTGTGAAATCGTGATCTCTATAATCGACATTGGTAGCTGAAAATACCCTAAATTAAGATCATATTCTAACTTCTAGATTAATTCGAGGGGATTTCTTGTTGGTAATGAACGAAGCAGAAAACCAAATACTTAAATCAAGTTCTAAGAAAAAAAGTTCTAGGTATAATGATTCCAGATTTTCTGCATGGGTTGGGCGTTAAAATTTATCCACCTCTGCTGATGCATCGTATTAACGCAGAGACCTCGGCAGAGACTATCCAGAGACCAGAGCCCTGCGGGTATTAAAAATTTAGTCTGCGGCATGCGGAGCCTTTTGTCTGGAATATAATACTGAAAGAATATATGTTTGATCACGCATGATACAAAAGTGTATAAAGAAAAAGTATAAATGAGCAATTCGCTATATCGAAAGCGTATTTAGACTCAAAGGTAAAGGATTCAGTAGCGTCTAGCTGCGAGACTTGACTGCCTATTAATGGTCAGTTAATATGAGTAAGGCCAGTAAGGGTTTAAAGGCTGAAATACGACACGTACCATCTGTAGACATTGTAAAAGTTTGTTTGTTATCAAGTGACTGATCAATAGCAGCCGGCTCCACTATGACCTCTTATGTGGCTTTCCTTGAAGTTATTGTGAAATATGTCCTACCAGTGCCCTAGTCTGTAATGTAGGTACCTGATTGCAGCGGTTTTAATATCTATAGAGGTCATCCGTCTGGCCTATCATTTCAAATAAATTTGCGAATGGGAACCACAGAACATAGAAGACAACTTTTTAAGTGTAGGTACTTATTAGAAACGATTTCTGAGTCTAACCTGCTGCAGTTACCAATAAACCTCTTTCACCATGGCTGTTAAAGGTCACTAAACTGTTCTATTTCTATATCATTCAATTTCTATCAACAAATATCAATAGATATTTACTGACTTTTGCAATTCCTTTGGTAAAATTGCATTTATGTTACCGTTGAATATGGCTAGCGAATTATTAAAATGATACATTGATCGTTCCTGCGTCATTATGTCACAAATATACAAAAGCAGTAGGTACTTGGGGCACTTACCAGGAGTTTTTTTTGGCGGTGCCGTTGATGCACTTAAATCGCTTAGAGAACTGTTAATGCTGCTCTGCAAATTACTGCCTATCGTTTTTTTCAAAGGTGCAGGAGTATAGGCTATTCTTGTTCGAATCCGCCGACTGTAAATAAAAAACTTGTGAAAATCTAAAATTCATGAATAGAATCATTGCTTCTAATGATTCAATTTTCCTCCTGGAAATTTTGGAATTTAAAATAAGGTTACTAGTTACTACACACCTTTTATTATTTGGAGTGTTTTGATTGCTTACTGGTTTCCTAAGTTCACTACTTCTTGGCGAACTCCTCATTGAATTGGTCTTATTCTGTTCATTTTTTGAAATTTTATTTATCACAGTATCCCTATGCAAAGGTTTCTTCAATATGTTTTCTGTCGCATTTGCTTCTATCATAGCCTTAACTTTTGACGGTACCTCCCTTTTCGGCATCTTATATTTCTTCGGCGTAATTTCCTCTTTATTAGGACGCCTCGGAAAAGACATCCTGGACGGACTGGAAATTCCCGGGCTTGGAGCCGTTCGTTTTTTCAGATTTTCCTTCAGGCTTTTGTCTAATGAGGTGTCGATAATTTTGTTAAATTTGGCAGTTTTTTGAAGCACTTCGTGGATGTTACTTTGGCTGTTTTCTGATATTGTTTTTGTACTTTCCGAAGGCGATACATCAGTGGTTTTGTTGTTATTTGTTTCTGGACAGAATTCGTTGCCGTTATCCAAATCGGCATCGTCATCATTTCTTAGACCAGATTCGATGTCAGTAAAAACACCTGCAAAAAATTAAATCTTCAGTTATCAGTCATGCATTTCAAAATACATGTATTAAAGGGAAATACTTTGTCTTGTGAAGACACCAAGATATAAGAAATAGGTATTAATTTTTAAAATAAAGTAAGATTTTTCAGAATATACGTAGAGAATATTATAATGGCTGGCTTCCAACATTGCAGTTTTAAGATTGATCAGTTTCTAATGCAGAACTTTGAATTATAAGTTTTGTGGGTGGTAAATTTATTGAAAACTGAATATAAGGCGGAATGCTTGACCATAACCAGTCTAAATATTGTATGCTCAAATCAATGCATTCGAATCCGATGTGAAGATCTGTGCAACGTTGCGTAGGTACTAAACCCAAATAGGTACTTAGGAGTGTGTTTCTCCAAGAAGTTCTCATTAAAAATTAATTCAATTCAGTGACATAATGTTAAAGGTACTCGTTGAAAAAATAAGTAATGGGTTTGAGTTTCTAGGGTCTAGCTTAGAGAACATATTTTTGTTTGGGAGAAAATTCTGTGTTTAAAGATCACGTGAGTCAGATATCGTTTTTTTCATTTCACAGCGTTAAGTAAGGCGAGAAAAATTATTTCTAATCTTGGTAGGTATTATTTTTAGTGAAAATCGCAAAATTTTAGCCTAGAGTAGCTGGGTTTGTTTTTGTTCCATCCAGAACAAATTCTAAATTCCTCCAAAATGTTGTACAATTTATTTTTGGTTGCTATTAGTAAAAGCTCACAGGTATGTGTTCGACTATTTTCACAGTTCTATAATTGGTTTTGATTGGAATTTAGCAAAGCTATTTTCTATTTTCTTTAAAAGCTGACTTTTGGTTTCTAAGAATGTTTGGGGTATTGGAAATTTTGACTGAATAAGTCGGATATAGGATAGGTACTTGTCGAAATATGATAAGAATAGTATTTTCCTATCTCAGTTGCTCTACTCAGAAATATAGAAGACTAATCAGGTTTTTTTTATGCTATCATCTGAATCCACAGAGACTCCGAAGCCCAGCACATTACCAGAGCAAATATATCTTGGTTAGAAACAAATCAGTAAGTACTTACCACTTGAATCCATGTTCTCCCGATTATTTACATATATATCAGCAGCAGCCTGTGGATCAACACCATATAGGGTACCGTCAATAACTTGAGCCCTTCGATCGCCTTTCAGTTGATTATCCTCGTGGTTGTCTGCGTCGCTTTCGGTGAAAAAATCTGAGTCTGTCATAGGATCAGGTCGCCTGGGTAAAGGTCTAGGAAATGGCCTTCTGGTCAGAGGCGAATTGTCGGCGCCTCTGCTAGCAGGTCGTGACATTTCCCCATCTCCTGGAAAGGTAAAATAGGTGTTATTTCAATAACTGTCATGCTTAGATACTACAGTCTCAGTCCCAGTCGTAGATGAGCAATGTAACAATCAAATTTTATGTCGAAGTGTCTATAATAAGATTTTTATTTTATAAGAAATAATATTAAGCAAAAATTTTTTTAAATCTAAATTTAAACTTACCCTGATATCCTGTATCCAGACTAGTGATACTGGTAATACTAGTAATAAAACTGCTATTAGTTTTTGATTTTGTTGGTTCGGTTTTAGATGGTTCGGATTCAATGATGGGTGTAATATCCAAAGGTAACTCTTCAGGAGAAGGAGTTTCCTCACAACGGGTCAATGTAGTATCTTTCGAGCCCGCTAGATCCAATGGTAAATTCAAGTTCATCGTCGTATCAGTTTGAAGTATGGTAAATCCCGAAACCATTTGATCGGGATCAATAATACCAAAACTATAATCCGTTGCGCTACTTAGGTTTGGACTTTGAAGTTCTTCATAAGTTTTTCTAGTGTCGCTAGGAAGCAGACTTTTATTGTCTGAAATTTTGCTAACAACTATTAAATGCTGTTCTGCAAGAGGCGATTGGTTTTGATTGGTATGCTGAGGTTGGTTTGTACCGAAGATGTCCACCAATTTACTGCAATCAAAGGCCTGTGTAAAATCTTGCATCTGGTCTGGAGTAAGAATTCCAAGAGACTCATCGCAGTCAAGAGAATTTCGTTTGCTATTTTCACTTTCAATGTCCAAAGCAATATTTATTCCTCTGTGCTTTCGTAAGTCGTCTAGCAAATCACTACGATGTGTATTACTTGCTGCTTGTAGTTGATGAGATGGTCTTAGTTGTGGTAGGGAGTTAGGTTTCTCTTTCGTAATAGTTCTATTTGTACATACAGAAGTGTTTTTGTTTTCCCCATTTGAAACTAGCGAAATATTATTAAGCGACAATAATCCAAGAGAGCTATCATCATCCTTTTCACTAGTTTGGAAACCTACGATATTGCTAATTCTGAGTTTTTTAAAACCATTTGAGTTACCAGTTTTAGCTGGCGTGGAATGATTGGGCAGATCTGGACTGCTATCACTTGCTACAAAGGTGGAATTATTAGAAGTCTTCCTTCTTTTTACTTCGAAAGTTTCATCCGCATTATCTGCAATATTTTCTAAAGAGCCTTTTTTATCATGTACCAAGGTTCTTTCAGGTAATAATTGTCCTCTGAGATCTTCGGTCCGAAATGTTTGTCTTAGACCTGGAATATCTGAATCTATGGTACAAGTAGTATTTGGTAGGTCATATGTTTTATTTTCGCAATTAAAAGTATAATTTGGGGTATCTATTTCTACTCCATATGTACAGTTAGCCTTATTGTCAGTCTGATTAACATTTGGCGTAGATCCAAAAGTAATTGTAGAGTCCAAACAAAGTATAGAGTAGGGTCCTGAAACATTATCAGTATCAACACTTTCCGAGTTGCCTTCACTAAGGACCACTTTAGAGGCCTGTACCATCAGCCCCCTGTGCTCATGGCATGAAAAGTACTGCACTCCGTTGACGGTTCCATTATTTTTGCCACATCCGTTCTTCAATTCAATGCCACACCACACGCCTTTCGCGAAATGGACACTTCCGACGTATTTTAATAAACCTTCTTTATCTCCTATCCGTACTGTTTTACCAAGATAAGTATCGTTAATTTCTTGAATAGGTGAAGGAGACTTTAAATCGTTTGATGATTTCGATGTTGCGATAGTAGGAATCCTTGTGCCAAATGTTGGAATTCGGCAAGGCTGAAACAAGAGAAAATTTTTCATTAATATCAAAATGGACTCGGAGCTGGCGACTGTTTAATTTACGGTAATTTAACAAGGCTCAAGACCCACCAAAAAGATCGAATCGGTTCATCATCCGTATATGGTCGAAAAATAAATTATGGATTGGAAAGGTGTATCTCAATCTCAATAAACAAGATTTTACACTTTAATGTTTCTACCTAACCCGACGAGCTGAAAAGCACCGTCAGGATTGAGACAAGTCGAACGTAAAATGCGTCTCTGCCTCTTCAGACAGTGAAGTAGGATCATGCTCGAGGTTAAATATTGGTTTATTGACACAGATTGTAGGAGCCTTCTCATCCATTTATATTTCTGGAATAGGATGCTTGGAGCCGTGACAGAGAAATTGTCGTTAGCTCTTAGACCAAGATGATGTAGTTCAAGCTTGGAAGACATTGCATGTTGATCTTTTTATACCTAAATACAGGGGTGGGCACTCGGGTGGGCATAAGTCAGTTGGCAAATTTGTACAAATTAAAAAAATTCAAGTGCCATTTGTAATAATCTGTCTCGAGGTCGACAAACATACTAACTTATGCCCAGCCGGCCGCGTTACTAGCTAACGTATTTTTCTACGTGAAATCCGAGCGAGAGCGGTGGGACTGTTTTGAACGCTGCCAGTGCTGAGACTCTGTAACGGATAGAGATCATTATCCTTATCGCTGTGGTACTTGCTGTCTTTTTCTCTCTTTTCGAAATCAATAGAGAGGGGACGTCAATAGAGATAAAGAAAATATCTTTATTCATTACAGAGTCCCAGTCCAGGTGACTTATGCCCATACCCCTGTATAGGTCAAATTTGGACAGCATATAGAGTTGTTTGAGCACTCATCTTTAGAACCTTATTCATATGGCAACATGGCCGGCGATGAGAATGCCTCTGAAACCGACAGTAATAAAAACTGCAAATATTGTAGAAAAAGTGTTGTTACTACAGTAATAAAGTGTTCATTGTGTGAATCAATATTTCATCCCTCCTGTGCACTAAGGGTGGCAGGTTTGGTCGTGATAGGCTGTAATAATTTAGTAAAATGCTGTGCCCAACAAAGAGAGGTTATGTCAGCAGCAGCACAATCGAATTCCACCGTTAACGACTTGCTGTCTACAAAGATTCAGCTCATTAACAGCAAAGATGTTATCATAGCCGAGTTAAAACACAAGGAAGCTATTTTAGTGGAAAACATAAACCTATTGAAAGAAAAAATATCAAGTAAACAAAAACCATCTGAATCCGCGAACGCTGGCAACATGGCCACAACGACGTCAAAAGCGTTTGCGACGAACAGTAAGTCATATGCGTCAACTATGACGCGCCCGGCCAGTCAGCCGAAACAGCTGCTCGACTTAACCCCCAATTTCCATAATCAAAACAACAATAATCAAAACAACAATTCTGATCACAATCGTGGTAATCAGGGTAATCAGAGTGCTATTGACAAAAAAGGAGTTAATGCTGGCATATTGCAGGCTCAGGCATCTCTTAAAATGGATAATTTAATTAATTTGAATGCAGATACCCAATCTACCGGCACCAGCAAAGACGGTTGGCAAACTATAAGCGGTCGTAGAAACAGGGGCCGTAAGTTCATGGTAGGCAATAACGAAACTACAAACAATATACTAACGATACCTCGGTATGTCTCTCTCCATATTACCCGGCTTGCACCTACTACAAAGCCTGCTGTGTTATTGAGTATGTTACAGCCTATTTTTAAAGAGGTCAAGTGTGAGGAACACACGTCCAAACATCCACAAGTCTATATCTCAATGAAAGTAACTATCAGAAAGGAAGAGTTACAAAAGGCCTGGAAACGTGAAATATGGCCTAATGGAGCCCTAATATCGTTTTTCCGAACCAAGAGGATGCTGAGCAACCAGTCAGATCCTCAGCAAGCAAAGTGAGTCCTACAAAATTGCAATTAAATGTTTATTATCAAAATGTACGTGGTCTTCGCACCAAAACCCATGATTTTTACTGCAGCTTGCTTCATGAAGATTACGACTTTATAGCGTTATCTGAAACATGGTTGGTTGATGTAGTTAGTAACTCAGAGCTCTTCGACGATCGATACAGGGTGTTACGAAAGGACCGCAACAATGACAAGACCCTAGGCGGTGGGGTCTTATTGGCTATGAAGAAGCAATTCATTATAGAAGTTGTGGATCTAGTTTATAACACAAATATAATAGAATCCCTAGTTGTGAAGGTAAAACTTAGGAAATCTCTCTTTTATGTTGTATGTGTGTATTTGCCCCCATCTATTAATTTAAGTGTGTATGAGCCGTTTTTAGATAGTATTGGCCATATTTTAGCTGATGGTATGGACATTCTGATGTTGGGTGATTTTAATTGTCCTTATTTTTGCTCCAAAGGCTGTGATAAAAGTAATATATTAGACCAATTCTCAAATATGAACTCTCTTACTCAATGTAATACAATCTTAAATCATAAGCAAAAAATGCTTGATCTTATATTCACAAACATGAATGTTGAAGATGTGTCTGAATGTGAGTATCCCCTTGTGCCCAAAGATCTCTACCATCCAGCATTGTGCATGTCATTGAACCTGGGCAATCAAAAATATAATCATACTGGTAATATACAAAAGATCCATACCTATGACTATGCAAATGGCGACTATATCTTACTTTATTATCTCCTTAATTCAGCAAATTGGTCGGATTGTTATATTAGTGGGAATGTGGATGATTGTTTAGTCCGGTTCCATGATACTCTTTGGCAATGCATCGACCGGGCTGTACCGCGAAGACGGACTAGTATTGGTAAGAGACGTCAGTTTCCCGATTACTTCTCGGTTGATCTTGTGAGAAAAATAAGGAAGAAAAATAGACTGCATGGGTTAACGCGAACTGGAAAGGCGTGCACTAGTGTCAATGAGGAATATATAAGTCTAAGAAAAAACATTAGAAGGCAGACTAGGCATGAGTATGCACTGTATCAGCGCAACTTGGAATCAAATATGCATAGTGACCCAAAGAGTTTTTGGTCCTTTTTAAGAGCTAAAAGCAGGAATAATGGTACACCAACGGAAGTGTCTTACAATAATAAATCCTTCAGTGGCACACAAGAGATTGCAGACGCCTTTGCTCAATTCTTCTCCTCTGTGTACGAGAAACCATCTGCAGCTGATAAAAATAAAGATAATTATTTCGGTAATTTTCACTTCTCCAAAATAACTGAGGAGGACGTTAAGCTAAGCATAAAAAAGCTTAAGGCAAAAAAGTCGGTCGGAACACACAATGTGCCTTCTTCCATTTTTAAGGGCTATGCTGACGCACTCCTGAAACCTCTTAGTCATTTATTTAACCTCTCTATACAGACAAATACTTTTCCGACAATACTAAAGGAATCTTTGATTACCCCTATAGATAAATCTGGTTCCCACAGAAAAGTCGAGAACTACAGGCCTATCAGTATATTGAACACTGTAGCGAAAATCTTTGAAACAATCCTCTGTAATGATATAATGTCAAATTTCAGCAAATGCTTTTCTAATTGTCAACATGGCTTTCTGCCGGATAGGTCCGCAGTATCAAATCTGTGTACCCTCACTACACGGGCAATGGAAGCAATAAACAAAAAAAATCAGTTAGACGTAATAATGACAGACTGTGCTAAGGCATTTGATAAGCTCGACCACAATGCAATGCTGTCTCAGCTGGGTGATTTTGGGTTCTCGGTTGCTGCTTGTCTTTTTATGCAGTCTTATCTGAAAGATTGGAAACAATGTGTTAAAATGGGTGACTGCTGCTCAGAGCCTTACTCAGCGACATCAGGGGTGCCATAGGGAAGCAATCTGGGTCCCTTGCTCTTTGTCATATTTATTAGTGACTTGCCCAACTGCATAAAGTTCTCTGAAAGCTTGGTATATGCTGATGACTTTAAGGTTTTCAAACTAATTACCAAAGCAGAAGATTGCACAAGATTGCAGGAGGACCTGGACTCTGTTGCTCGCTGGTTTCTAGATCACAGGATGCATCTCAACATTAACAAGTGTCAAACAATCACGTATACTCGCAACATCAATTACATCACAAATACCTATACAATAAACGATAGATATTTGCAGAGAAAAGACAAGTGTAAGGATCTCGGAGTTAACTTCCAAATGAACATGAAATTCAATGATCATTATTATTATGTTGTCAATAAGGCATATCGAGCATTGGGCTTTATTATAAGAAACACAAAGCACTTCAAAAATATCGAAACAATAGTAATATCATACAATACTCTGGTTAGGTCTCACCTTGAGTACGCCTCTGTCGTTTGGTCTCCTCAGGCAGAGGCCAACATAGATCTATTGGAGAAGGTCCAGAAGCGGTTTCTGAGATACCTCTACTATAAAACTAATAACATTTACCCATACCTCGTTTCTTACAGGAGTATGCTGACTACTTATAATATTCAGTCTCTAGAAGTAAGGCGAAAAATTGCTTCAGTACTGTTTATACATTACATAATAAACAACATAAAATTTAAGTCTTGCCTTTTCATCAATAATATAAGCTTCCATGTTCCTAAAATAAATTTAAGAAAAAAAATCGCTGATCTGTTTTACTGTGATACATTCAACTGGTCAGTACTGACGTCAATGCAGTATCAGTGTAATGTATTAATTGATAAGTTTGATATTGACATGCACAATGTGGATGTCCAAAAGCTAAAATCTTGTTTTAATTTATATTGATGATTTGTAGTAGTGTATTTTTCGTAGTTTTAGTTTTAGTTTTAGGTAGATTCTAGGGATTCTGTTAGTTATAGTAACCCTTACTTGTCATTATCAACTTGCTTGATGTTTGTAAGATGTACCATAAATAAATAAATAAATAAATAAATAAATAAATAAATATAGATGATCATCGAAGGACTATTGCCATACGGTCATACCGTTTCACTCGCAAAATGTGATATTGCCAATGTGAAGTTTTTC